TTTCAAGCAGAAGGTATTAGCCGACTAGTCAAGCTGGTGTTTGGTTGCCTAATCGTATGGTAAGTAAAACGAATGGTCTATTTGCTCGTATTTTTGCGGATAATTATTCGTTTTTCCATTCTTCGCTGTTAATGCAGTTCGTCGCTTGAGAAACCTGTTTGAGTAGTCGGCTGGTGCCTTCTACCTAAAAAGGAAAAGAGATGTAAAGGATAACTATTCTAGAAAACTTACATATTACCCTCCGCTGCAGAGACAACTGATTTTTAAGGTTCCTGTGCTCGAAAGCAGAGGCGTTGGGGCACTACCTTTATGTCTGCAAGTGTTTTTGTTATCTTGTGTGAGGAATCGACTATACCCACAGAAATGTGCGTTAGAAAACTATCCAAAACTCTCTAAGTCAAAGTCATGCGAGGTCTTGGGATTGAGACTTGCAGTCTGAAGTCCGCTTTGGTAAACACTGCCGCAGCTTTAAGCCTATGGAAAAATGAAGCCTTAATCATGATTAATTCCTATGTTTGTATTTGAAAAATACATCGAACAGCTACTTTTCTTGCTTTTTCAACTTCTGGATAATCGCAGTTTCCTTTCCTGCAACTTGATAATTTGTGGATATTCAGAGGGCACACAATTTCAGTTGTATGTACACTTATGTGGAACCTATGGTAAACTGCTTTCAACTTAATTAATTCGTTAGAGCTGCTTCTAGTGGAATGAACATTTGTTTCATCTCATTTGAAGCAGTTTTGAGGAATTGTTTGGCTCAAAAAAACAGCATAAGTGTTTCTCTCTCCCCATTAAAGTATCGATCTCTGCAAAAAGATGAATTCACCCAATTGTCCAAATTCGGGACGCTCTGGTTGCATTTCAAGACTTCGAAATGAGTTTTTCTTGTCCAGCATATTTGTCTTAAGCATGTGAACTGTCCCTAAACATTTGCTTCAGAGGTTTTAGGCTATACTACATGTTATCGCTTCACTACTTCAACGTACCCTATCTCCTTCTTTGGAGACCCGAACATAGCGAAAGACTATCCAATTCTCAAAGAAGGCCGTTCATTTAGGGGTTGGGGAGGGCCTACAGTTTAAGGATTAGCTTGCGGAATAATTCATTCTAGAAGCTGTACATGAATGTCTGGTTACCGAAAATGTTAGCCTGTTTGACGAATTGTTTATTTCATTCCGCTAGATATAATGGAGTGTGTTTCATTATTGGTTCATGTCAGCCCTAGTGGATGAGCCGCCGGGTATGCTGCACCGATTCTGGCTTCCGTTACAATAAAATCTCGTTAATTTCAGCGATGAAGAAGGTTAGAAGCAAGGAGCCTTTAAAGCTCGCACAAGCCCAAGAACACGTTAAAAAGGAGAAATCTAGAGAAAAGACCGTGAAGCCCGAAAGAGATAAACGCTGGAAAAGAGAGAAACCTCTCGACAGGGAAATTGCGCTCTATGCTGTGAGATTAACTCTGGAATTTCTTCAACTAATCTATTACATACATTTGATTGAGGAGTATTTTTTAGGCTCGTGCTGATAGGGGAGCCAAGAAGGGACAAGCAAGACGCAAGAATTATTTTCAAGCGTTGGTCAGTTTTTACTTTATCTTTAGGAGTAGGGCAGTAAAGGACTTTCAACATCAAAGAAACAATATTTGAGCGAATCTCTGCGTTTTCATTCAGGATCAGTATCAAACTACTGTTGCTGGAGGAGGCACCACAATAGGAGGAGCAACTGCCATTCACGATCGCGAAGACGACGATTTTGCGGCTAAGGTTGACTTTTCTTACTATATTCATAGATGTTTAGCCTTTTTTTGCAGACCACACAAGAGATGATTCGGTTCCTGAATGACGAGAAACTTGTGGAGACAAAATATGAGTTTGCGGGCGGCTGGGAAAGATTTTTGCTGAAAATGAAGCGTAATCCTATGAAATCAGCCATATACGAGGTCATTAAGCACTTATAACAGTGCTAATTTGTATCTAGAACTGAGCATATATAATTTTATGTGCGGAGTCTACACGATATGAAACACACATACCACATAATCAACCATTTTAGTACTGCCGTATGGAGGAAGCTATCGGCCAAGATATGATGAATGTCTTATCCAAGACTACAAACGTCGATGGATCAACTGAACTCAAATGTACTATTACTAATAGGTCACATGTTTTGCTACTTTGCGAAATACATCTTTCAGACAAAGACTTACCATCTTCCAAACCTCCACCCCTTAAACGTGTTGACGATCCGGCCTATGAATTACAGTGGATGTAATTATTATGAAAAAAAGCTTAGATGAAGCAATTTTCTGCTGTATACCCGATTAATAAACATTTTGAGAGAAAAAGATTTTATTTTTTTCTATCCAAAACTATATTTTTAATTCAACATTTGTATTTCATGTTCGATTGTTGATCCTATTGTTTCACAAGCGAATTGAATTTAACACTAACTTTTTGTAACGTATTCATTCAAATGTTCGATTTTTGTGCACTCACCAACAGTATGGAAAACTGCTCTACAATGTGATAGACTGTGTTTAGTTGTGGCTATCAATGTATATAGCAAAAAGAAAAGAAGGTAGTCACAAACAAATTAACTTAACATTTTCTAATTAAAGTGCTAGCGCTATTAATAAGAGTAACTTCATTCTACCATTCTTCTTTCTCTCAGGGCAGAAAAACTCAGAAAGAGAGGAGTCCAACATAAACTCGAATTTGCGCATTGCTGTTGCTAAAGCCAAGCTCAACGTTGAGCGAAATGATTTTAGCACGATTCAAGAATAGGAGCCTTGAACGGATTGTGATTATGACTATAATTTATCACGGTTCTAGATTAGTCTGAAATTATCCTTCATTTATTTTCGTACATCTTGTGGAATTATATGATCCCCTTGAAAATATAAAAACTAGATTGCAAAAATTCGAA